CACACATCTCTGCAGCTTCTCTACTGTTACCCACTCTTTACTCCATCCAGACAGTGTTAATAAGTGTAATCTAATTAAAATTTAAATTCAATTGGGGAAAAGGTTGAAACGATTAAATGTGGTCTGTTTAACATCAGATCTCTTTCCTCTAAAACTCTGCTAGTTAATGACTTGATTTGTGATAATCACATTGATTTATGTTGTCTTAAAGAAACTTGGCTGCAGCAAGAGGATTATGTAAGCATAAATGAGGCAACTACTTCTAGTTAATTGCATTTTCAGATACCCAGAAATTCTGGGCAAGGAGGAGCAGGAGCAAGCAAGAAAACCTCTTCTTTTTGTAACTTTGTATCGTTCACCAGGTCCTTAGCCTACTCTGAATTTTAAAATGAATTTTTTAGAGCTCCTTTCTGATTTCGGTTTTAATACTGACAGGGTCATCATGGTGAGAAATTTTAACATCCATGCTGACATTGAAGGTGATAGCTCAAGAGCAGCTTTGAATGCTATCTTAGACACTATTGGCTTTGTTCAAAATGTGAATAGTCCCACACATTCTCATCTTCATACTTTGGATCTTGTGCTGACATATGGCATAGAATGTGACGAAATAACAGAGCTCTCCTCCCCCAAAAGAAGGTTTGATTTTAGCAGATCATTATCAGATAATGCAGTTTAAATTTTGAAAGAATCTGTTTCACTTTCTCTCTCCTCTGTGTCGCTGAGCAGTGCTGCAGAGTGCAAAAGCTTAGCTTATTCCCCTTCACGGGTTGATGATTTTGTTGATGGGGTTGCTATTTCTCTGCGTACTGCCTTAGACAACGCAGCCCCTTTGAAAATGAAACCCATTAAAAATAGAAAGCTTGCTCCTTGGTTTAATGCAGAGCTGCGCACTTTGAAGCAAAATGCTTGGAAATTGGAGAGAAAATTGCGTTCCACAGGCCTACGGGAATCCTACCTAGTCTGGAAAAAAAGTTTACTGCTGTATAAGAGGACCCTTTGTAAAGCAAGAGCAGCATATTTCTCCTCATTAATAGAGGAGAATAAGTTAGCAAAACTATGGTTTTCATCTAAGCCTTCAACTTATATGTTAAATCCAGTTCTACCCAGGTTATTTAAGGAAGTATTCCCTTTGATCTCATGCTCCATTTTAGATGTGAGGATGTTACAGGGATATGTTCCAAAGGCTTTTAAGGCTTTTTCTTTTGACCCAGATGACTTGGTCAATTATAGACCTATATCCAACCTTCCTTTCTTATCTAAAATTCTTGAGAGAGTTGCCAAACAAGTTTGCGATCACTTACACCATAATGAACTTTTTGAAGAGTTTCAGTCTGGCTTTAGAGCTCATCATAGCACTGAAACAGCTCTGGTGAAAGTCACTAATGATATTCTCATGGCCTCAGATAATGGACTTGTATCTGTGCTCGTCCTGTTGGATCTCAGTGCTGCATTTGATACAGTTGACCATAATATTCAAATGCAGCACTGAGATCCAA